AATGTCTCTTAACAACGGGTAAGTAAATTCTACTTTTCAGAGTTTCTCTCATGTCTGTGGTTTTTAAAAGTAACCAGCCCAAAATAATCCTCATGCCACAGAGACATATCTTGGGGTGGCCAATTCCAGTGCCCCACGCTGCCCATTTCCAAAAATACTGACCATGAAAACCCTGTGAATAACAGTGGAGAATTGTCCAATATAGTGCCCAAATGTGGTAGGATGTTGCAGAAATACAGGGCAGGGATCCACTCTGCCTTCTACAGGGCAGCTAGGAGTTGGAATAGACTTGATGGCACTAACAACAACAATCCTCAGAGTTGGGTGTGGAACATCCAGAATCCTTGCACGAAATCACGCCCCCATCCCATCTCTGCACCTCCAATCTCACCTGTTCTCTTTTTCTCAAAGGTATGCTTTTTTGTTTGTTTGGTGAGGAAGATTGGCCCTGAGGTAACATCCGTTGCAAATCTTCTTCTTTTTATTTTTCTCCCCAAAGCCCCAGTACACAGTTCTATCCTAACTATAGGTCCCTCTAGTTCTATGTGAGACGACACCCCAGCTCAGGGGCTGCTGCTTGAGGAGCTCTGTGGTTTCAGAGAAGAGCTCACCCTCAAGGGACACAGAGAAGGGAGGGGCAGCCCCTGAAGACCCCCACCCTCAGTCCAGGGGATACTATTCCTCCAGCTGGTCCCATATCTGGGGCTGACACCTTTATCCCAGACTTTGTCTTGACCTCATTCCTGGGCTGGGCTGGCCACAGCTGAGCTCAGATGTGAAGTCTGTCTGCTTTTTCTGAAGCCATATTACAGGTGAAACTACAAGACTTAGACAGGTGCAGGGTCCTAACCCAATCATAGCTCCTGAACACAGATCCTGAAGGAAATGCATCACTTGCCAAACACACAAAGAATAATCTAAGTGCTATAAGTTTCTGCTCTGGGTGTGAGCTCCTGGGCTAGGTCATAGGCACTGTGCCTCAGTATCACCAGTGTTACTCAGGGCCAAGGACAGATCACACTGGAAAGAACTGCTGTATAAGATGAGAGTTGGCTCAAACTCTAAGAGCATCTGGAGTGAATGGTTATTATAATTAAGTGCCTTCAGTTGTTTGGGAAACTGTATCAAGTAATAAAACATCTTAATTTAATTAATTCGGAATACAAACTTTAGCCAGCAACTGCTGTGTGCCAGGCACTCATCCTGGGAGTGAGGAGCGGCACCGTCTGCAGGACAGGAGCCTCTCAGAGAGTGGGGAGTGAGGAGGGTATCCTGTGGTCACAGGGTGGAGGATCATGTGTGGACAGTGATGGTGTTAAACCAGGACTGGCGCGTATGGGGGAACTGAAGTGCCTGAACCTGAGTCAGAGAAATAGATAATTTCTACTAGATTGAGATCAAAGACCACAGGGTCAGAAAATGTGTACGTCGTTGTCTAGGATGATAGTATAAATATAACTGTCGCCTTTTCCTTCAGGTGTTGGGTCACGGTTACTAACCCTCCCTGCATGTGACAGTCTCCTTTGCTGCTTTTAAAACCCTCATTCCCAGGCCCTTGACGGGCGATTCTCTGCTGTGCCCTGGCGCCCTGTTCCACACTAGCGGCTGGAGGTGCAGGGACAACCTCTGTCCAGGTGCACATTCTGAACCTACTTCTCAGGTCGTGATTACCTGATGCAGGCACTCCTGCCCCAGGGGAAGAATTGCTGCCAACAGCAGAACCCAGTACTTAGTTCCCAAAGATGATGCCATTTCTAGAAGACATCAGTCAGTTACCTGATGACTGAATACATCAGACTGGTTCCATCATGGAAGGGACTGCTCTTTTTTCTTAGTGAAAACGACATTTGCTCTAGATAGGGATTTTCTTTCTTTGCCTGACATGCTTCTGCCGAAAATATTGTCCACAGACTAACAGAATTCCTTACCCTTGATATGGAATTCCACATGGGGTCTTCTAACCAAGGAACTCATTTCATTGCAAATGGAAAGCAGCAATGGGCCCAGGCTCATGGGCTCATTGGTCTTATAATCTTCCTCTTCATTCTGAAGCAACTGCCTTGATAGAATGATGGAAGGGCTTTTGAGGACTCAGTGACAATGCCAGGTAGGTGATAACGCCTTACAGGGCTGAGGCAATGCCTTCCAGGATGCTGTATGTACTCTAAGTCAGTCTATAATACACAATGTTGCCTCTCTCATAGTCAGGATTCTTGGGTCTAGGAATCATGAGGTGGAAAGTGGGAGGGGCAGCACTCACTGTTATTCCTACTGATCCACGAGCACAGTTTGTCCTTCTCATCCCTGAGACTTTACACTCTGCTGCATTGCATTGAACTGCACATTGAGACTGCTCTATGATCCCTTTTTTCTCCTCGTGACAGTGAATCATGAGGGAGAGTAGGAGAGTCTTGACTGGGGTGGTTGGTGTTAACTGTCAAGGGGGAATTGTTTTGCTCTACACAATTGTAAGGAGGAGTATGTCTGAAATGCAAGAGATCCTCTAGTGCTCCCTGGGCCTGTGGTTACAGTCATAAAATCACCATTGTCCAATTTAGCAGGAGTGATAACGGGCCAAAACCTCCCAGAATGAATGTTCCGGTCATCCCACCAAGCAAGGATCAAGAATGAGTGAGCTGTTTGCTGAGGGCAATGGAAATAGGGAATGGATAGTGAAGAAGGTAATTATAGGTACCAGGTCTGATTGACTACATGGCCAGTTGCAAAAACGTGCACTACAGAAGCAACAAGTATTTCTTCCTTATTTTGATATGTTTGTGTTTGGAAAAATATGAACCATATATTTTTGTTTTCTTCCCCTGTCTCATCCTATTACCATTTTACACAGGAAATGTCAACAGGAGTTAACACTATGTCTCTCTGTTTAAGGTAGAGGAAATCAAAGGGGAAATATGAATGAGCTGGGAGAAAAATACCCCTAGAACACAAAATATTATTTTGCATCCTCTTCTGGGGAAAAGATTAGCATGTTCTTAATTGTTGGCAAGACAGTGTTTTCAGGTGGTGGTATGGCTACCGTTACATTTATTTGGCGTTTGTGTGGAGTGTGGAGATACAAGTAGGTCTTATGTGGACAAGGGGTGCACTGCTATTAAGTGTCCACTTTGATAGGGTGAACGTTTATTTCACAGAATTATTTCTGTCTATATTTCTGCTTAGGTTGGATTTAGAGAGAGATTCTTGTGCAGGATTTGGAGAGTAGTAGTGAAGCAGCAGCCACTTTGTAGCTCACATGCAAAATTGTGTACCAACTGGCTTGCTTTGTAGAACAAGGCAATCGCCCCACCTGTGCCTGGTTTCAACTCCCCACCCCACTTTTTCTTTTTGAGGGACTCCAATTCCATCCCTTTATATTGCCCAAAGTTGTCCTATAGCTCAGCGATTCTCTGGTGATTTTTAATGCCTTTTTTCTAACGTTTCTTTTGCAGTTTCTATAGCTGTGTCTTCAAGTTCACTCGTCTCTTCTTCTGCAGTATTTTCTCTGCTGTTAATCTCACTCCTTGTATTTTCAATCTGACACATTGTAGTTTTCATCTCTAGAAGTTTGATTTTGATCTTTTTATTTTCTTCTCTATTTCCTCTTAAAATGTTCAATCATTCAGATTTTATTTTGACTAAAGATGAAACATGAACTCTTACTATTGATATCTCTAGCCTTCTGGTCTGCCTACAGACTTCAGACTTGCCAGCCCCACAATTGGAAGAAGCACTACTTAAAATCTTTCTCTCTCTCTATAAATGTATTTATATATATATAGAAAGAGCTAGAGATGTAATGGTTATATATAATTATAAATATATATAACATGTTATATATAACATTATAGAATATACTATTAACATATAATTAAAGTATATAAAATGCTTATCTCTCAAATACATGCATATGTACATGTGTGTATACACATTTCTACATTTTATATACATATGAGATATACGTACTATTGGTTCTATATTTTCTGGAGAAGCATAGCTAATACATCTTATTAGGTATAACTCTTTGTTGCTAAGTGTTTTCTTTAACATATTTAAAATTAAATGATTCACTTATCAGTCTACCTCCCAGTGATATGCTATAATTCTGCATGGAGTTAAAGAAGAGCATAACATGTTCTTCCTCCCCCCAGCATTTGTGGTAGCATTGCCATATATTTTATTTTTACACTCACTATAAATCACAACATAGCATTGTTATTTTTTGCTTGAACATGTGACTATCTTTCATAGACATTAACAAATAAAAACGTTTGCATGTTTATCATATCTGATGCTTCTTATTTCTTTGTGTAGACTAGATTCATGTTTCTATCTATCATCTTTTCGTTCTATCTGATGGCCCTCCTAGACCACATCTTGTAGTGAGGACCTGCTGGTGATCAATTCTGCAACGTTTTGAACTCTGAAAATGTTTTATTTTGCCTACCCCTATGAACGACATTTTCATTAGGGAAAGAATTCAAGGTTGACAGGTTTTTTCTTTTAGTATTTCAAAGATATTGCTCCAATGTCTTCTTGCTCACACAGCTTCTAATGAAGACTTGCCCTCACCATGATACTTGCTCCTCTGTGTACATCATGTCTTTTCTATCTGGTGGCTTTTTTTTTTTTGGTGAAGAAGATTGTCTCTGAGCTAACATCTGTACCATTCTTCTTCTGTTTTGTACGTGGGGTGCCATCACAGCATGGCTTGATGAGTGGTGTGTGGGTCTGCGCCCAAGATCCGAACTTGTGAGCCCCAGGCCACCAAAGCAGAGCATGTGAAGCTAACCACTACGCCACCAGGCTGGTCCCTCTGCCTGTTTGTAAGAGTGTGTCTTCATCATGGGTTTGTACCAATTCCAATATGATGTGTGTCGGGTGCTGTTTCTCATGTTTCCTGTGCCCGAGCTTTGTTGAGCTTCTTGGAGATATTGATATATGAATTTCATCAAATTTGGAACATTTTTGTTACTATTTTTTCAAATACTTCTTCTGTCCATCAGCCGCTTCCCTTCCTCTCTCCCTCAGTTCCTCCAAGTACACACTACTTAGGCTGCTGAAGTTTTCCTACAACTCACTGAGGCTTTATTCATTTTTTCAACCTTTTTCTTTTGGTTTTATTTTGAATGGTTTCTATTACCATGATATCAAGTTAAAAAAATCTCTTATTTTCAGGATCTAATCTGATATCAGTCTCACCCAGTGTATTTTTAAATCACACACCATGTCATTTTCATCTCCAAGAAATTTAATTGGTGATTTTAGAATGTCTTCCATATCTGCTCCTAACATGTTCAATCTTTTGTCTGCCCACTCTAACAAATGAGCTGTTGTCATAACAGCTGTTTTTGTGTCCTGTGCTGACCCACCCTCTGCAGAGCCTGCCTGGAGGGTTGAGAGGAGACGGAGCCTGGGGATCTCAGATCTGAGGACCTGGAACAGACCTGCTCATGGCTTTGTCTACAGTCTTCTTGGGGCTGGAGGAGAGTCTGAGACAGATGGGAAAGGGGTTTGTGTCTCACTTCCCCATCAGCCTGTGTCACTGTGGGCTGGTTACCACTGCTGTCCCACACCTGACAGTAATAGTCAGCCTCATCCTCGGCCAAGGCCCCACTGAGGGTCAGGGTGGCCATCTTGCTTGAGTAGGAGCCAGAGAATCGGGTAGAAATCCCCGAAGGACGTTTGCTTCCATAATATATGACCAGCACGGGAGCCTGGTCTGGCTTCTGCTGGTACCACTCAGCATAATAACTGTCTAGGAGCTCTCCCTGGCATGTGATAGTGACTGTGCTTCCAAAGGCCACGGACAAGGTAAGTGGCTGAGTCAGCATAGAAGAAGCCACAGAGCCTGCAAGAGAGGAGAGGTGAGTGTGAGGACGAGGGACTCATTCCCAGAGGACAGACACCCTGCAGCATCCTCTCTGCAGAGAGGAAAGTCAGGTCAGGTGGCTCCCTGGTGCCCTTTGGGGCTGAGCCCTGAGGGGCAGCACCTGTGCAGAGAGTGAGGAGGAGGAGCAGGAGAGGGGTCCAGGCCATGGTGGAGATGCCCCAGAGCTCTGCCTCTGAGACCACAGCTGGGGACGTGCCTCAGAGCCTCTCTTATTCTCTGAAGAAATGCAAATCTACTTCCTTCCTTTTTGTGGGCTTGTTGGGTGCCTTCCTGCTAAGGAGAAAATGGCTGAGCTTAAAGCAGGCTGTGAAAGTGGGTCCTGTTCCCAAGGCCTGTCTCTGAGCACTCAGAGCTCCTTCTGGTGTTGAGTGAGAAAGTGCTGACCCCTGCCCCAGCACATACTCACACACCTCAGTCTGTGCCCTGGGCTTCCTCTCAGTCCTGCTCTAGTGATGGGCCACCCACGCAGTTGGGCTGGACCGTGCTTGAATCAGGAGCTTGTAGGGACTGTGGTTACGCTGTTGTATGAGAGGCCAGAATTCATGATCAGATACAGGGAAATTGCTCATGTACCTCTCAGGAAATCCCTTTTTTTTTTTGTTTTAGAAAAAAATGTAGGAGAAATCCTTGGGATCTAGGGTTAGGCAAGAATTCTTTGATTACTCCAGCAGCATGATTCGTAAAAGGAGAATAATATACTGAACCTTGTCAAAATTATCTTTTGCTTTGTAAAACTTTCTAAAGAAGATTGAAAAAACCCAAGTAACAGAGAGAAAATATTTGCAAACCACATATCCAGCGAACAACTAGCGTATAGATTATACAAAAACTCTCAAATCTAAACAGTAAAGATAACATCCACTCAGAAAACGAGCAATAAACAAAAACAAATAGTTCATGGAAGAAGATATAGAGATGGCACAGAGCACATGGAAAGATGTTCCTTATAAGCCCAGAGAGAAATGCACATAAAAACCACATGGAGACATCCCTACCATCCTATCAGAATTTGTGGTATGAAAGATAGTGACAACACTAAATGCTGCAAGGATGTGGAGAAACTGGATCACTGCTGCTTGGCTGATGAAATGTGAAATGGTGCAGCAACTCTGGTAAAGAGTATGGCAGCTTCTTAAATAAGTAAACTTGTGGTTCCCATACAACCAGGAATGATACCCTAGGGCATTTATTTCAAAAAAGTGAAAACTTATGTTCACAGAGGAACTATGCATAGATGTTACACTCTTATGCACAATAGCCTTAAAGACAGAACAATTCTGATGTCCTTCACTGGGTGGATGAAAAAGCAGACTTTGGTACACCATGACCATGGAATACTACTCAGCAATGAAAAGGACTGTACTCTTAATGCACACAATGATATTGATGAACATACAAGAGATTATGCAGAGTGAAAAATGTCAATTCCAAAAGGCTACATACTGTAGGACTCTACTGTTTATTTATGTATATCATTTCTGAAAAGACAAAACTTTACAAATGGAGAATCAATTAGTGGGTGCCAGGTGTTAGGTGCAGCAAATGGCACCTCAGAGGGAGGAGGTGGATGTTGTCATAATGGACAACCGGAGGGATCCTTATGGACCTGGAACTGTTTTTTATCTTGACTGTGCTGGTGGCTATATGAACCTACTCACAGAATAAAATCACATCAATCTAAATGCACACACACAAATGAGTAAAACTCAGCTGGGGAGCCTGAATTTGAAAATAAGCAAAGATTTGATCAAATGTTTCACCAACAGAAAAAGAGACAGACTACAAATACCACCTGAAAAGCTGCTCAACATCACAAGTCACTAAGGAAATGAAAATTAACAACAAAATGTAGATACCACTACAGATATATTAAAATGGCTTAAAAAATTACAATCTATGTGACTTCTTATTCTGGGAGGGATCACCTAGTTCTGCAGAAACCGCAAACCTGAACTGCACAACATTGGCAGTTAGCATGTGTCCTCTGACCTGTCCACAGGACAGCAGGCAGGCGAGGAATGACAGGCCTCAGGGCTGTGGCTCGTGTGACTGAGGGGAAGGGACACTGGGCAGTGAGAGCAGGGGCACTTCACACTGAGGTCTCCTCACACTGATTCCTCCGAGATAGTTGAGAAATCCCAGGGGAAGTCTAACAGGTCTTAGGGATGCCCTGTCCACAGCAGAGCTGAGCTGGCTCAGGAGGACCTGGACCTGTGCTTGGAGGAGGAGTAGAACAGCTTGGTGTCCCAGGGACTCTGTCAGGAAGGCAGCTGTCACTGAGCACCCAACCCCACAGAAGGAAAGGGGTTTTTATCTCACTTACGACTTGATGGGAGGCTGTTCAGGTCACCCTTCTTTGTGTCAGAGATGTGCTCACTATGGATGAAGCCTGGACATCAGGAACAGGGATGGGTCAGCTAGGGGACAGCCAAGGGTCTTCCTGGGCTGTCACTTCATGCCCTACCTGAATCCCTGAGAGCTTGGTAGTGCCCCTACAACCTGCAGAGTTTTGCATCTCCAAGCTTCCTCCCCATGGGAAGGGATGGCCTAACCGTGGCAGAAACACTGTTATGAGTTGAGTTGGGTCCCCTCTCAAATCCGTATATTGAGGTCCTAACCCCAGTACCTCTGAATGGGACCTTATTGCAGAGAGGATGATTGCAGATAAATTAGTTAATTTAAGATGAGATCATAATGGAGGAGCGTGACACCTAATCCAATTTGACTGGTATCTTTACAAAGGTACAAATTTGGAGACACATGCAAGGGAGAATACCAGATGAGGATGGAGGCAGAATCTACAAGCACGAAACACCAATGATTGCCAGCAAACCACCAGAACCTAGAAGAGAGTCCTGGAGCAGATTCTCCTTCATAGCTCACAAGAAAACCAATCCTGCGACACCGTGATCTCAGACTTTTAACCCCTGAACTGTGAGACAGTAAACCTCTATTGTCAGCCCCCAGTATGTGGTGCTCTGTGACAGCCATCCTAGCAAACTAGCTCAGTCCCCCAGAACTCTGCTCTCAGGGTTCTAGGTCTCTTATGTAACCTAAGACTCCTCCATCCGCTTGCCTGCTCCCCCTGGGTTCATGGTGGAGAGTGATGCACACAGCCTCTAGATCCTTGTTCTTTCTCACAAGAACATTCTGTAGTTTCCCTTGTGAATTACAACAATGACTGCAAATATTCAGAATCACTACCTTGTGGGAACTTGTGCACAGTCTCTCCTTCCCAGAACTGAGTCTAATCATGACAAAAGTATACATGAGATATGACATGTGCCAAGAGCTGAAAAATGGGAAATACAGGGTCCTCTGAGAACATTCAGGAAAAACATCTCAGTTAGTCTTTATGTCATGAATGACCTTCCCCATGATTGGACTTTTAAACAGAACGGTGAAGGATAATTTGGTGTTAACCTGGGAAGGATCAGTAATCCAGGGAAGGATGAGGGGCAGGGAGCTGGGATAAACCACCGGGTGGTTAAAGGGATTTATCAGGAAGTCTGGAGCAACTTTGATGGTAGGACTCATGGCTCCTTCAGGGCTCCATGGCTGCTGATTACTGAGTAAGCCCCACACAGCTCAGGCTGGAGGACACCTCCTGGATCTACTTCCTCAGGAACTAGTCAAGTCACACCAGGTTCACGTGTCCCAGTACTCCTCTCCTTGGTAATAGGAAGGGAGGACAGATCTGAAAAGCTGGACAGAGAAGCCCCCATCCCAGGATGGGGTGGACAACAGTAGCTAAAGGAAGAGTCTCAAGGTTACCCCCTTACACTGTTCCAACCTGGACACTGAGTCATCTGGACATCATCTGTACTTGCCTCTCCCGAGCAAATCAAGTGGTGTCTGAGCACACAGAGCACAGGCAGGGACAGAACCTTTGCTCCCAAGTAGCCTCAATGAGCCAATGCACCTAAGGACGCACTTTGTCAAGTGGTGGGAGAGAGGATGGACCTCACTTTTTCACCCTTGAACCTAGAAAGTGACCCACTCCAGTGGAGCTGACAACAGAACTGGGAGCAGGAGGGGAGTTGGGCAGCCCAGGGTACTTTTGTTCTTACCTTCTCATCACTAAGGAACAGTTTAAATAAGTCCCTCTCCCCAACTTTGCATGAGAACAGGAACAATAATCAGCATTATGGCTGGACTGGAGCTGAGGGATGCTCAGAGAGGCTGTGTTGCCAGAGTTGGAGTCTGGAGTCACTGAGGTTTGATTCTTGACTCCACCCTCAGTTGTTTGGGCTGCACCAGAAGATATTGATACCTAGAGACCCAATAATAACCCCCAATGTCACTGCTGCTTCAGCACAGGAGTTGGTGACCATTGTCCAGGAGGGCACAGATGCCTAGGGAGGTTGAGTCAGGACAGACTGGGCCCTCAACACTGACAGGAGGGAGAAATGCAGACAAAAGTGAATGCATGGCCAAGACCCAATGGACCTTGGGTGGGAAGGAGAGCAAGACCCTGTCCTTCACAGACTGTGCCTTCCTGTGGTGACTGTCACTTGAGCTGTGAGTAACGGAGGAGCTCCAGGAGTGAAGCCATTCAAAATGTGGTCCTCGGAGGCCGAGCAGCATGGGCTCCCATGGGATCTGTTAGACATGCAGATTCCTGGGCGCCACCCTCACCCGCTGCAGCTACATCCGCATCTTCTGGACCCCCAGGAGACTGTGTGCTCGCTGAAGTCTCAGAAGCTCTGGTCTACGTCACTGTGAGGACTCTCCCTTCCTGTGCTTTTGAGTACTAAGCCCTTGTTTCTCCCACATCCTTCTTAGTCCACCTGTGTATTGGCACCTAACTGTCCTGTCATCAAACTGAGCTTGATTCACGTGCTGGGTCCTGTAATTGTATGGAAAAATATTTCTAGAACAGAAATTTTCGCAATCCACATGGATCATGTTTGAGGGATATCCCAGTGGGACGTCCAAGTGGAAATAGATGGTTCACATCACTTCTTTATTTCTTGTTCAGCTCCAGATGATCTGGACTTTCCTCATGACCTCACCCCTTATGGTCTCTGTATTAGAGCCTCCACATGTTTTTCTCTCTGATTGAAATGCTTCTCCTGAGTCTCCTCCTTGCCAATACCTGCTGTCTTCTTCCATCTTAGCTGCTATAACAAAATGCCATAGGGTGTTTAGCTTAAAAAAAACACAGATTTATTGTTACAGTTCTGGAGGCTGGAAGTCCAAGATCAAGGCACCAGTATGGTCACCTTCTCATGAGGGCCTTCTTCCTGGTTGCAGCTGGTGCCTTCTCTATGTGTCTTCCTGCACACAGTGGAAGAGGTGGGGATGTGGCATCTGTTATAAGAGCACTAATCCCATTTATGAGACTCCACCCTCTTGACTTAATCAGCACACAAAGGCCCATCTACTACTAATTCTTTCACCTTTGGGGTAAGATTTCAACCTATGAATTTTGAGGGACCCAAACAGTCAAACCATAGCACCTGCTTAAATCATAATCACCCTTTCAGCTCTGTGTACGTATCACATGCTTAGGGGACAGCCTCTGACCCCTAGAACATTTGGCAACACAGAATTACATATTTTTTTTGATGAAGCTCAGCCATCTTCCTCTATTTTATATGTGGGATGTCTGCTACACCACGCCTTGATGAGTGGTGCGTAGGTCCACGTCTGGGATCTGAATCGGTGAACACCCCTGCTGAAGTGGAGTGTGTGAATTTAACCACTATGCCACAGGGCTGGTCCCAAGAATCACATTTTTTGGGTATTTGAAAGAAGATATCCTCACAGCTGGGTATGGGATATCCAGATTCTTTGCGTGGAGCGCACCTCTCCCTCCTGTCTCTACACCTCCTGTCTTACCTTTATGATACCCTAACAGGACTAGAAATGCAATGGGAAGCAATGTCTGTTTGCATGAAAACCTTTTAAGTGACTACAGAGATGGTCATGTGTTTTTGTCTTTTATTCTATTAATACAGTACAGTGGATTGATTGATTTCAGGATGCTAAAACAAACCTTACAATTCTGGGATAAATGCCACTTGTTCGTGAGGTAGAATCATTTTTTACGTTTTGTGGTTGAAACTGGTACCCCTCTCCCTGGTTTAACAGGCAAACCCAGCAGCAAGCTGCAAAGGCTTAGAGTCAATACAAAAGTCCATGCTGTGCTGTGAAGCAGCCAGGCAGGCCCCATAAGCCTGTGTCTAAATGACCTTGTAGCCCTTGTCTCATGACTGAAGATGCCAGCAACAGGAAGAGATGGTGAGTACCTCACTCTCACACATCCCACCTGCGTCTCCTAGAGATTGAAGGAGAAAGTGACGACCCTGGTCCTTGCGTCCCTCCAAACAGGGATAGCACCAGCATTACAGGCCTCGTTTGATGTATAACCAAAAAGCTCCTGTTATCCTTGAATCTAGGTGACTAGTAGATGTGTAAGCCCCTTGCTGCATGAACACTGCTTGGTTGAAAGGTGTAAATAACACTCAGAACTGTAGACCTTGAAGCAGTTTCTAGCATATTCTGTTTGACTGTTTCTGGGCTTCAAATTCCTCGCCTTGACTCCTCCGATTAACTTTTGCCTAGACTCTATTTCAGTCGACACGTTCTAGATTTAGTTTTTAGTATTTTGTTGAGGTGTTTTACATCTATATTCATAAGGATTATTGGTCTGTAGTTTTCTTTCTTGTGATGTGTTTGTCTGGTTTTGGTACCAGGGTAACACTGGCCTCATAGAGTGAGTTGATAGGTGTTCTTATCTCTTCTTTATTTTGGAAGAGTTTGTGCATGTTTATATTAATTCCTTAAACTTTTGGGAGAATTCACCAGTGAAACCATCTGTGCCTGGGCCTTTCTTTTTGGGAAGTTTTTTGTTTTTAATCAATAACTTAATTTCTTTTCTTATTATAGGTTTAGTCATTTTTTT